CGTGTTTATTTCTATTTTTTAATTTTTTTTCTTCATATTCTGTAAGAACTTAAACTTCAACACATCAATACTTGATAGAAAATACCTGTTCCATCTTATGCCTAAGATGTTTGAGGGGCCCGGAAATGGCTCAGTAGGATAAGTGCTTCTCTGGCAAGCACACGGGTCTGGGTTCAGTCCCTGGTTCTGCAAAAAAAAAATTAAAAAAGATGTTTGATATTCAAACAGATAGTGAGGTCAAATCCAACTGCATGTGTTGTAGGGTAATAATAAGCTTCTCTTCTGGAGGGTTAACAACCTAAGTTTTCAGACCAAAAATTAGAGAAATAGAAGGGTTGCAAAGACAGCCAACATTTGACCCCAGCCTTTCAAGGTCAGTGAAGACTAGGACATAGGAGAACCTATACTGTAACATCATGTAACTCAGTTGTGTCCCAGATTTTCTCATCAAGGAGATTATGGGGCCACAGGGCAATGTGATCGATGATTTAGAGTGTGCCTAAGGAGAGTCACATGGGGAGAAAACATTCTCTCAGGCTTTCACAGAGAGCACATTGGTCAAACAATGGCCGTGACTCATCCACATGGCTGACACTGACAAAGGATCTACAAAGTGAGGTACAGAGTTACAGGATAAATCCTGAGAGTACTTGACTGACCTTATCAGATACAAAAGTTACATTTCTTGTTATACAGGTCTTGCTTTATTTTGGTCTTAACCGTCCAGCAGAGAAGTATAAAAATGAGGTATATAAAATAAAGCCATATTAATATGCTTAACTGTGAACAGCGCAAGTCAACAACTTCTGCGGATAACCCACTACTATTGTGGACTGCTGGACTGTGTTGGATTGTTTTACTGAATTCAAACACCAATGGAATACCCATCTCTGACAGACTGAACAAAAAAAAAAGGGGATACAAAGGAAGGACCATTTTGTATTTGTATATACAGAATAGTTAGGATAGATATACAGCTCCTTTCACTTAATTCAATGACAAGAAATATTTGTACTAATAGTGTTTGGGCAGGATATCCTGTCTGCATCTTGTACTATGGATAACCACTAAGAAGATAACAATATACAATGTATTAATTATTGAAACTGTCCTATTAATCAGTTTTGAAACTGTCTCATAGTTGTTTCTCAATAAAATAAAAAAATGAATAAATAAAATTTGTCCTTTCATGTATATGGAAGAAATTCGGAGTGCTCATGCAATGATGTATTTACAGAACTTGATTTTGATGTTTGGCATTTATAAGACCTAATTTGTATCACTTCTTTCATGTGTCTTTGTAGTCCCTTAAATACTAATAAAGATTTGAGAAACTGTGTATTGTTAACTGAGATTAAGAAAGTGTAGGCTGCAAATGTTTTTAACTGCACATCATTATTTTAATACATATTTTTTCCAATCTTTGAACCTTGATTATCCCCAACAAACACTAAACACCTTACCTCCTCATTCAGCTGTGTGCATTAAACATTTCACTGTCGAAATCATTGAGCATGAGGAAGACAAATAGCAGTATTTGCACAGTGCTATGTGGCAGCAGGCCCTCCAAATCATTATGGTGATGTCTTTCTTTCCTAAATAATTTTTACAAATATACTGATGTAGACAGATTTCTGTTATCTGTCTTGAATGGGTCATAAGTTGAACTAGTTCTATATTTTTTCCTGAAACAATGCACAGTGGTGATGCGGTATTTAATAGTCTTAAGCCTCCTGCTGCCAAAATAAACACAGCTGTAAGATATAATGACCTTCTCATCTTTGTAACAATAAAATGGTTTCCTAATATGTTTCCTTGGGTTTGAGCATTAATATTCTTGTGGATTTCTGAATCCCATCTTCTTCTTTTGAGGAAACTTCTTGAAGAATACAGATCTGAAGCAAATGACAGCATAGAGCATGGTATTAGTTGTACTACATTATAATATGACCAAAAAACCTTTCTAAATTTTTGTCACACTGCAACATTAAGCCAAATATATTAGCCAGTGAGGACCAAGGAAAAGTATTAATACTTTGAAAAGTTTTATGAGTTAGACCAATGACAAATTTGAAAGCCCTGAGGATCCTTGACTGACCTTATCAGAAACAAGAGTTACATTTCTTGTCATATAGGTCTTCCTTTATCTTGGTCTTAACTATCCAGCAGAAAGGTATAAAAATGAGGTATATAAAGTAAAGCCATATTAATATGCTGAGCTGTGAAAGGCTCAAGTCAACAACTTCTGCGGATAACCCACTACTATTGTAGACTGCTGGACTGTGTTTTGTTTTGCTGAATTCACATACCTATAGTATTTAAATACCAATGAAATATTCATCTCTGGCAGGACTAAACAAAAAAAGGGGATACAAAGGAAGGACCATTTTGTATCTGTACATACAGAATAGTTAGGATAGTTATACAGCTCCTTTCGCTTAATTCAATGACAAGAATGATTTGAATAGTGTTTGGACAGGATATCCTGTCTGCTTCTTGTACTATGGATAATCACTAAGAAGATAACAATGTCCAATGTATTAATTATTGAAACTGTCCTATTAATCAGTTTTGAAACTGTCTAATTGCTATTTGTTTCTTAATAAAATAAAATTTAATAGAAATTGAAAGCAGCATATATAGATAGCATGTGGCTTGCCACAGTTTCCAACACGTGGCTCTTACCAAACTGGTGTTGATTCTCTTCTTGTTTAATATTTACATATAAAATCAATTATTACAATGTTTTCTTGACAGTTTAAATTTCCTAAAAAGCAAATCTTGATTGTTAAAGAATGTATCAGGAGGGGCCAGGGAGATGCCTCAGTGGAATAAGTGCTTCCCTGGCAAGCGCAAGGGC